GCAGTGACGAGGGGAAGGCAGCCCCACAGGATGAGCAGCGGTGGGGCTGTCGCCCAGCATGGATCACAAGCTGGTGGACCTCTAGCAGGCGGCGCAGCAAGAAGGAGCGGGGGCACTCGCGACACTTGTAGGGGTACTCGCCTGTGTGGTGGTAGCGGTGCATGAGCAGGCGATAAGGGCGGTGAAAGCGCACTCCACACTCCTGGCAGCGGTAGGGGAAATGCTGGGCATGCACCAGGCGATGCTGCCGCAGAGTGGAGCTCTGAGTGAAAGCCTTGCCACAGTCCCCGCAGCGGTAGGGCCGCTCCCCTGTGTGTGTAAGCCGGTGGCGGGCCAGGTTGGCTGGTGAGTTGAAAGGCTTAGAGCAGTCAGGGCAGGGGAAGGGCCGCTCCCCAGTGTGTGTGCGCAGATGGTTCCGCACGTGAGACTTCTTCTTGAACATCTTGCCACAAATGCTGCACTTATGGCGCCGCTCCAGCCGGTGCACAAAACGCTGGTGCCGGGTCAGCTGCAACGCCTTACCAAACTCACGGCTACACAGGAGGCAACGGTAAGTGCCTGGAGCTGCAGGCTCGGCCGAACTCTCCTCAGATACGGGGAGCTCTGGGGCCTCTAGCTCTCCGGTCTCTGCAGGGGCTGGCTCAGGAAAGCTAATAGCAGGCTCCTCTGGTGGAACTGGTGTTGTGGGCAAAGGGACACCTCCTGCTCCATGGGTACGCCGGTGATAAAGGAACTTGGTGAGGTTAACAAAGGTCTTCCCACAGGGACATGAATGCAGAGGATTCGGGGTATGGGCTCGCCGGTGGGCCAGGAGGAGGGCTTCAGTGCCAAAGGCCAGGCCACAGTCTACACACAGGAAGTGAGACTCACTGCTATGGTCACCAAGGTGCTGGTCCAGACTAGAAGGGCTGGGGAAGACACGACTGCACAGGGGACACTTAAAAACACCCTCCCGGTGACTCCGAAGGTGCTGCTGTAGCTGGTGGGGTGAGAGAAAGAGCTGGTCACAGGCTGAGCAAAACAGTTCCTGGGTGGCCGCCCCGCCTGACTCTCCACTGTTGTTCCTTCGGGGCTTCCGGCCCCGGCGGTCTCGCCCGATGGCCTCCCCATTGCGCAGCTCATAACTGTGATCAGAGGCTGGCAGGGGGTCAGGCTGAGACACTGTTGTCTCAGTGGGTGAGGGGACCAGGGTTTCCTGCTGTGTGGCAGGCCCTTCAGCCTCGGGGACAGGAGCAGGGAAATGGGTGGCCTGATGCTCCAGGAAGTCAGCGGGCATCTGGAAGAGCTGTGAGCACTCAGAGCACTTGTAGAGGAGCAGCTCCACCTCGGTCACCATCTCGGTGGTGGCAGCTACGGATGATGGAACGGCCGCCCCCTCCCCACCCTCTTCTGCTTTTCGGTACGAATGTTCCACAGCCACTCGGGCCTGACCCACAGGGGGACCCAAGACAACTGGGGACCCCAAGACAACAGGGGCAGGAGCTTTGTTGGGTGTGGCCCTGAGATGTGTCTGGCGATGGCTCAGCCACATTTCTTGGCTGGCGAACAGAGCCTTACAGTCCACACACTCATAGTGGATGGTGCTGGAGCTCAAAGGGGGCACCTTGGGTGGTGGCTCAGCCGGCACTGCCTCCTGGGGTGCCATCATCTTCAGGTGTAGCTCCTGGTGCTCCAGGAGCTGGCTGGGAGACAGGAGCAGTTGCCCACACTCGAGACACTGGTACTGGCTCTCCTGTATGAGGGTCTGATATAGGCCTGTGCCTGAAGCTGCCTCTGTGGCCACTGTGACTCCAGGGTCAGCCACGCCCACCAGCTCAAAGTGCTGCTGGGGCACGTGGGAGTTCTGGTGCACAAGCACCTCCTCCAAGGATCCATAGAGCTGGTTGCACTCCGAGCAGACATAGCGGTGCTCAATATACAGGACCGTCTCTTCACTCTCCTCAGTCATGGCAGCGGCAAGGGCAAGGCCCTGGGCTGAGAGAAGGGAAGGCACGGACAAATCAGTCCCCCGGGGCAGGTCTATTCCTTTATCACTGCTACCTTCTAATACCTCAGGGATTTTATGTCTTCCAATTGCTTGATTACATTTTTCCGCTCTGATGCACTCACTAATAATCCTCCTTTCCTGAACTAATAATCCTCCTTTCCTGAACATAGGAACAGCCAACACAAATTTCTCCAATGGTCTCTTCCTGGGACTCTATCCCAAATCTCCCAGCCCATTTACCTCGCATTCAGCTCTACCCAGCAGGTCCTATGACCTATCCAATCCTCTCCATTCCCCATACCTCAAAACTAGTTCCCAAGGCCCCGGGCATCAAACAGGAGCCTATCGCCTTCCAACAGACTTTCCTTTGACTCCTTACCATTGCACAGGACAGTATCCCTTTGCCAAGCTACTCAAAGAATCCTCACTCTTGTGGACCGTCCCTTCAAGCTGACTCTTACACAGACTACATAGACTCTGCCTTCTCGCAGGTCACACACTTTTCACACTCAGACCACTCAAACTGGGGTCCAAGTCAATTAGGGACACTGGGGGTCTGAGGCCTCCTCTTGCCACCCAACCTCTGTTACCCACCAGTGCCTAGGCTACCAGTGGGTCTAACCCATCCCCATACTTTCCCACCTTAACCACTTCCTGACTCTCAGATTCTTAGAACTGGTTCAAACTATGCCTATCAAGACCTTCTCAGCTGGGCAGTTCATGCCTTTAATCCCAGCACTTGGGAGGCAAGAGGCAGGTGGATTTCTGAGTTCGAGGCCAGCCTGGTCTACAGAGTGAGTTCCAGGACAGCCAGGGCTACACAGAGAAACCCTGTCTCGAAAAACCAAAAAAGGAAAGAGACCTACCGTTATCACTAGCCTTTACCTGGAAGGTACATCTCCAAAGCGTAACCCTACACAGTCAGACGATTCTCACCCTTCCAACATGCCCCTAGAGTATTTAACCACCTTTTCTCTCCATCAAGGCCAAGTGTGCTGTGCTAATGCTCCGAGCACCCACCCTGTCATCTATTCACACTGACTTAACCCCTTTCTTTTTTTTTTTTTCTTTTTTTTTTAATATTTATTTATTTATTTTATTGATGAGTACACTGTAGCTGTCTTCAGACACACCAGAAGAGGGCATCCAATCTCATTACGGATGGTTGTGAGCCACCATGTGGTTGCTGGGATTTGAACTCGGGACCTCTGGAAGAGCAGTCAGTGCTCTTAACCACTGAGCCATCTCTCCAGCCCCGACTTAACCCCTTTCTTAAGGCCACTGTAACTCACCTAGGAACGCCTATGTGCCTCCTCCCCAGCCAACACTATCCTTTTTTGCATAAAGGTCCAACCGTGTGCAACTTTAATTAACCCAGCTGAGAACCCCCCCC